GAGTCCGCTGACTACGTACTATACGGTACATTTCGGACTCCGCTACAACGTAGGACACGACACATGGCAACGCCCTACCCTGGTTTGCTGGGATGATCTTAGCGAGAGGTAGGGAGACTGCATGCATTCAGGACAGTTGTAGGAACTGTACCTAGGCAGGTTTCTTTCTACCAAGTGCTTGCGCTAAACCCTACTCAAAGGAGTTGAGCCAAGTATGGTAGGAGGCAATTGATGTGTGAGGCGGAAAGGAAGTTGCATCCTTTGACGTTCGTCGCGAGTCAAGTACAGAGCAACAGGAACAAGTATAGCATTCAGGTACAAAACCTGATTGAAGTAAAAGCGTCCAATTGCTAATATTTAGTTTAAGGTAAGAGCGTCTGAGCGCAGGGAAAATAAGCAATGGGTCAAGCAAGTGTCCAAATGGCACAAAAAATCACGGCAGGCAGACAAGATAAGGTATTGTGAGTGAATAGATCAGAAGTTGGTTGTCCCACAATGGGCCTCTGTGTGTAATGTTAATGCATGGAGCAACGTTGGGTTCTTCCAAATGTAGCGCTGAAATGTATCAGAATTCCATTGACTAGTAGCCTGTATTATGTATGGGGGTACACCTAATTCAGCAAGACATGTCGCTCCTCCGGCGCGCATTGAGACTCTGCCGTAGTCGTTTCCGAAGAAGACATAGAGACGCTTAAGGAAAAAATCTCTAGTGGCGTGGATGCCACAGCGGGTAAGCCATAACTCATGTCGGTAAGGAAATAAGTTATTCCTGGAGGCAATGTATTTCGCGAAGCGGGAGTAAGGGTCCGTTGCGTGACTCAATTGCCTAATCAAAATCCAATTTCCTTCAAACAGATGGTTGGTTTTGTTGTATGGTAACCAGTACTTGTAATAAGTGGGGTGCAACTTCACGGACATGATCTTGATGACCTTGCGATAATTGTGTAGCACTCTGGTGGTTGGCTGTGTCAATTCTCCAAGACAGTGTAAGCCGTAAAAGCCAGATAGTAGTAGGGCGAGGAATAGTAGGTCGTCATGATCATTGGAGGAGTCGAGCCTGTTGCAGACCATTTGCAAGTGATCCCTGGTCAGCGGCAGCTTCCTGATAGTTGGGGACTGGTACAGCCAGATGCAACCAGACAAAGTCCTTCTGACAATCTGTGTCATTTGGTTTGACTGCACGTGTGGGAAGTAAGGTTCAAGTTGGCTACAAATACCGGAGAGATATGTTTGTACGGATCTGGGTTCAATGTAGTGGGCCATGTATACAATGTAAAAGGAAATAGTTTTAGGAGTAGGGTCTACGGGCATGTTGTGTATTTTGACAAAGTTCAGATAAGAGTTGAGAGCAGAGCCATAAGAGAAAAAAGTGTTGTCGGCTAGAGACGCGCCGAGTGCAACCAAATGCTCATGATGGAGCCTCTCGGTTGACTAGGCAATTTGGGAGGGTTGCCTGGATTTGGTGGGAAAGCGGATCATAATGTAGTTGCCCCCAGCAAATCAAGAGGGGGTAGAAAAGTGTTGCAGGACATTCAAGGGAATAGTGCCCTTGCTTCATTGACTCTTTCATGGGAAATGTAGTCTGCAATGGTGTTGTCAACCCATCAAATGTGTCTGACCTTGAGTTTGTGACTGCTTGCTATCATCCGCTTTGCTACAATCTTGAGGATGGGGTTGTATAGGGGTAAGCCATGAAAGAAGTTGAAGATATTGACAGTGTTTGCATTATCACAGAACACCATGACCTTCGCTGGGGACATCATACCTTCAGTCGCCATCAGAAATGCAGATGCTACCGTTAACACCTCAAGATAGAAAATAAGGTCATTTGGCGTGTCATCTGGCAAACTGCACAGGAAAGCTGACTGGGAAAAGGGAAACCAGATCCCAAGACCGTTGAGGCACGTGTCTGTCTCAATTACAGCATCAGCGTCGACTTCATCCCAGGCTGTTGACTTGAGTAGTTGGACAGGTGGGGACGCAAGAATAGCGCGTATACCCCATTGCAAGTCTGTGCAAATCTCACGCGTGGCCCAGATCTTGTGGTGCGGGTCATCTGGTATTTCTGAGAGGCAGCCATAAATGTTAGAAAGGCAAGGAGCAACGAGAGGGAAAGTATTGAAGCCCCAGTTACTCCATCCAGCTAGTGCCTGCCACTGCCGCCTTGTGTAATGCATGTTTCTCTTTCTCTCTGAGAACTTTTGTAGTTCCTGGACCCACTCATCAATCTTGGGTGAGGGCATTGTCATCGACATCTTGTTAGGGTCAACCAGAATTCCAATGATGGTGAGTGGGCAACCGTGGACTTGCTTAGCCTCCTTATGGGGAATACCAATATCGTCCTAAAGGGTGAGCAGCTTGAACTGATCCTGGGGTATGTCTTTGTTGTAGGGGATATATCGCACCACATTGCCAGCGTCATCAATGCCGTAGGCATTGTCATTGAAACACCTTGGCTCAAAGACATTGTAGGCATGGTCGGCTATCCACATCACTAAGCTCATTACCGACCCCCAGATGTTGAAGGATGCCCTGTTACCAAAACAGTTGCATCTGTCGACGTGTCGCTCTCCATCAATGGTGACAATCTGACGGAGCTGCCACAATGGGTGCATGGGGCATAAGTGGTAGGCGCTGGTCACGTCGGATTTCCAAAGGGTGAGAGAGCAATTGGAACCTTTGCAAATGGACAAGAATAACTCCCCCAGGTACCGCATGTTATCCATGGGCATCCCAGCAATTGCCTCTCGTGGAATAAGGGAGTTCAGTGAGTATCGACCAGCAGAATGATTAGTGACAAGGCGGTACTTGGGTGAGTTTGACTTTGGCACAGCGTGGATTGGCAAGCTGATCATACCAGGGAGGAGGTCACGGCCAAAAGAGTGCGAGAAACGGTCAGAGGCTATCTCGACATCTCTCTGAGAATGTAAAAAATTGGCTTCTTCGACGGAAACGGGGGTAGGAATGGATGCATCTTAGATTGCAGGGTAGTTGGGAGGGAAGTCTGCAAAGAGCCAAAACCCTTCAGTAAGTCCTCTCAAGACCGACTTGACAAAGGGTTCGTTGGGATGAGTGGTAGCATGCCTCTCCAAGAATTTGATATTTATTGGAGTCACAATCTTGAAGAGGTCCAGATAGTCGCGTAAGGTCTTTTGGGCTGCTACATCATGTAAAACGTGTAGAGGCAGCGTAGGAAGTGGTGAGGCAGACTCTGACCAATCCGCAAGTGTAAGGGAGGGGATGTCGTCACCTGAATAGTAATTATACCTCATGTATTTGGGTTGCGCAGCCCTGTACACCTCAAGCCTTGATGTGAGGGCAAGTTGACTTGCAGTGTTGTCTGCCACATGCTGAGCAAACGTGCTTCCAGTAGCACAGTTTGAACAAAAAGGGGCATGCGTTAAGGTTGAAGCGCCGGCAAACTGACGAGGACGCTTTTGATGTGTTTTTGGTGCCGGCACCGCCACCTGAATCACCACTTCCGGGTCCCTTTCTTGTTCCATGGAAGTAGTTGATCCTGTCAACATTGAGGATTGCATGTTTGAGGTCTGCAAACTTTGATCGGTCGGTGAGGAGCATTCTCGTTCCCCCGCCAACTCTGGATCTGAGTGCGAGGTCAAAAGTGATGATTTGACTGTGAGCAGATTCACTCTTGGAAGCAAAGAGTCCAAGAATGTATTTGACGTAGTCGGTAAACTCATCGCCTTGGTGCGGGAAGAACATTGCGAGCACTTTTTGGTACGTTGAAGCTGCGATGAGCCAATGACCGCTATTCTCAACTTTTTGGATTGGATCGCTGATTCCAAAGATGATAGTGTGGTTCCCAAAGCTTCCTTTGTTTTCCTTTGGAGCACCGAGGTGGTGATGAGCTGACAAGATGGAATTAAAGTCGGCTGGCTCCCCTCAAATGATTTTGTCAAGTTTGGAAATGGGGAATTTGGGGGGATAACTCGGTGAGCATGTCGCTTCTTGTTTGACTCTCTTAAGGTATTGGAAATAGAATGCGAGTAGTTCTGCATTTTTTGCACATTGCGGGTCCCTAGTCGATCGATTAACTTCATTGACACCATACCATGGGAGTCTCTTGGGATCAAACTTTTGCCCCTCATCGACGGACCCGTTGTCTGAGTTGTCCCCATCGGAAGATTGAGTACCACGGTTGCATTTGTGGGAGTAATCCCAAGGGTTGTCGTCACGCCATTGGGAATTCCCTGAACCAATATCTGGTTGTCCGGGATTTTGGTCATGTTCATGCGCTCCAGCAAGCTTGGTTTTGTCTCAATCAATCCTACCCGTCACTTCTTCCTGCTGCTGTCCCCGTGCCCAGAGTTTGACAAATCTCGCTTCAATTTCATTGATTGTTCCGAGGAAGTCAACAAGCGCATCCTCTCGCATGGATCGTGTGCTTCCAAGTCAATTCGAGAGAGCAACGAGTTGACAGACAGTTTCTGACTTTGAGATCTCTTCCTTTTCAAACTTCGCTGTGACTGACTCGACTTCCTCCAGGATGGCTTTCTCTCGGTCAGACGTTCAAGCAACGGGATGTTGTGAGGCAAAGGGTCAATAGGGTTGACTTCCCCCTTGTGCGAGACAATCTCTTGCGACTCTAAATCCCAGTTCAAAGAATGTCAGGGCAGGGGCAGATTGAGATGCGGATTCATTATCATGTTGAGTTTGACTGTTATCCACAGTATTGTCCCCTCTCTCACTCATTTGCAGTGACAGCGACCGCTTTTGGAGTTCACAAGTCGAGAGTTATGATGGGGAGTCGTAGAGAGTTATAATTTGAGGGTAACAATGAATGAGGAAGTAAAGCAAAGTAAGTAGAAGGGTAGAGGTCGTGTCACTCAGTACATGGGGGTGTGTTTGTAATGGAACTGAGTATGTCTACGATTCTGTTGGTCTAATATACGAAGGAGAAATTTATCACATGTACTTTGCGACCCTCCTCCTATTAACGTCGTGAAACCCAGGTCTTAACTCCAAAAATATGATAGCATAGCCCACCGCGAGGGTCGAACTCGCAGCCTTCAGATGCACCCTGCCTTGCGACTGTAAGAGTCTGACGCTCTATCCGATTGAGCTAGGCGGGCGGTGAAATCTCGGAGAGATGCG